ATTCCATAGATGAAAAATTGCAAATTATTTATATATTATTATTATTATTATTAGTATTATATTATATTGATCGAGTGTTTCGTTAAAATAGCTCGTGTGAATATAAAATAGATAAAATAAAAAAAATAACATTACGATAATAATCGTCGAGATCCGGGAAAGTGATTAAGAGAAGAAACACGTCGTTGTCGTCATTGTTACAGAAAATAAGACACAATCAAGAAGAAGAAATAATAGATAAATAGAAAAATAGAAGAAAAAGAAGATTTAAAAAAAGTACGACAGACGTCACATCGAAGCTGACTCTCCTTTTTCTATCAACTATTCGTCTATTCATCTACAACGCCAAATTCATTTTGAATTTCATCCTTGCTGACTTCTGGATTACGCGTCAAATTACGTGCCGAAGGGGGAAGCTTAATATCACGAGGTAAACACACACATTAAAAAATACCCCAATTACTTTTTTTTCCTACCCCTTTTACCGTAATGCATACACGTAAATAATTTAATCAATTATTTTTCAAACAATAAATAAAGGAAACAAACATTTCTAGAAAAGATTTAAAGAGAGAGAGAAAATTAATTAAAAATCATGCATTTTATGCATACGTGTATATTATACTAACATATTGATATTAAAATCGTTCATAAGTTGTGGGTAAATTAAATAAACGATCGTGTAATTTATATTAATTATATAGAAACTATTTCTATTATTTTTATTAACATCATTCGTTGTTCTTACATACGTAAAAAATTGTTAAAAAATAAAATGTACAATTGATGTATGTTGAAATGATATTTTTAGGTAATACGATAGGTCGAGATGATGATGAAAATGTTGAAACTTGCTGAAAATAGTTTAGGCATAGTCACTTTAGGTAATCTGAGGATATGGGGGTGGTGATGGTGGGAGAAGAAAATACAAGAAAAAATATTAAGAAACATGTTGTTTGTGTATATTTCGTTTGAAGATTTTATCTTTTATATATCATTGATTTGATAATATGATTTTAGGATTAGATTGTTTCTACATTCCTATTAGGTTTTTAAATCATGGTAATATAGTATTCTATAGACAGAATGAAAAAGTGTGATACTTAATATCTTTCTCTCTTGTGAGTATATTATAGAAAAGTAAATATAGATATACGTGTATATATATATTTTTTTATTCTTTTTATCTGTCTGTTTCTCTGTGCTGTTTCCGTTTCCTTTTTGGGGTGAAAGGAATCTCCCCAATAGACCGAAATTTCGAGTGGGTGTCGACGTAGTCAACGATGATGACCATTCAACCCATCTCAAAATTCTTATTTGCATTTTATTTTTGATTATCTGGTATTTCTCTTCTTCTTCTTCTTCTTCTTCTTGCTGTCATAGTGTATGTTTTCTTTTATATTAAATTATCTTATCATTTATATACACACACACACATATATGTATTATAATTCAATGATATTATTGATCGTTATATTTTATTTTATAACTTGTTTGCAATTCTCGATTATTATAATATCATTTACAGTTATATACTTAATCAAAAATTAATTCTTTAATGTATTTTTATAATGATTTTTTTTTATAATACTCTCGTATTAAAAAAAAAATAAATAATTATCTATTAAAATGTTTTTTATTTGTATTTTATTTTATTTCTCATTGAATTTAAATAAACATACAATTAACAATACAAAGAATATAGGAAAAGAAATGATTCATTATTTATTATTTCAATTGGAAAACTTATCAAACGATTATCAATACTTTTGTTTCTACTGACCTAGTTATTTCTTTTTTTTCTTTTTTTTTTTTCA